TATTACAACTGTTATCTCTTTGCTGCATGGCACTGACCGTGGGGACTGGGCTTTACATGCACAGCAAGGTCTCTGCCTGTCTCCTATAGCCCAGTTTGGAGTTGTTCACCCCAGAAAGTCTCCTGTTGTGTTAGGTAGGTCTTGGCTCAGTTTCCCTGTATACACCTGGTCATTTCTTTGCAGCTGATACATGCAAGGGAAACCAGGTAATCTTAATGCTACCCTTTCATTGTGATTCCTAAAAACAGAGAGGAAGCAAAGAAAAACAGTGCTGTAGAAATGAGTTTTCAGGAATATATTCTATCAGTTCATCTCTGAGGTGCCTTAGAGTCTCACTCTGCTCTCTGCTTTCAACAAAAGTAACTGGATTATTATTTGTATTAATGATAGTATTAATATTTATTATTATTTTGGCTGTATGTGCAGAATTTATTACATTTGATGATTAAAGAAAGTATTTTACCATATTTTTCAGACTTATAGAAATAATGTTTGATTCCAAAATAACTGAAAGTGAGTTAGTGCCAGAGGTACTACATAGAAATGTCACCACAACAATCCTCACAGAGGGGAAGTAATAATTAAATGCCTTTCAAACATTAGGATCCAAGAGTCAGAGTTGCTTAGTTTAAATGCTACACCTCCTGAAGCCCACTTTGAAGTATTTATAGGACAGAGACTGAAAGGTAGTCAAACTAAGCACTGACAGTCTAAAGTAAATGAAAATAATTAAAGGAAGCAGTATAGTATACACTATAGTACAATTTATAGAAAGTCAGTATAAAAATAGGTGAGGATCAATATATATACTAAATTACATACATTGGTGACTATTTAACATCTTGTGTCTGTCATGTATTTATTTACTGTGAAAACTAGAAAGAAAAATGATCATACAATATTTAAGAGTCAATGTAAATGGAAAAAGTGTTTTCACAAGGTAATGGACTCCTCCAGCTATCAGGCAATGAAGCAAAGTAGAAACATTTATTTTCCAGGCAGAAGGCAGTGCTTCTGAGATAAATTTCTATGATAATGAACATAAGGCAGACATTGACTATAATGAATCCAGAGGTATCTGGTTTTACCCAGGGAGCTCAGAATGAGCAGGGATGGCTGTTCTGCACAGCCTGGCTGTGGTGCCCAAGCCCCATTTCCGACACCACTCCTGTCGGGGCTCTGTGTGCTGAGTGTCCATCCCCAGCAGCGTGTTGGCTCCTGGAGACTGGAGCTGGCTGAGAACATATGTTTCCTTTCTGACAGAAATGATGTTTATAGCATGAGGGGCAGGCTCTGACAGACTGCTTTTTAATTCACAAATGTCCTTTATTTGCTTCCTATGAATTAAACCCTTTGCAACATAAGAAACTTTAACCCTCTTTCCCAATGATTTTTGTAGGTGACATTGCTTTTCCCCCCAGTTATTTTTTAATAACTACCCACCTGCCCATTTGCTTCAGAACAGTGTTTCCCCTCAACCTTCCAAACACCCCTTCAGACAGGCTTTTAATTCCCCTTCCTTGTGCATCTTCTATGCTTTACTCTGGGCACAATCAGCACTTTGTTTTCCTGCTGTCTTTTCACAGTTTAATTCTCAATATCTTGCTGTCCCAAATTGAATGTATATTTGGCAGTACAGAGCATTTGAATCCGACTTTTTTACCTTTCTTAGCACTTCCTCTTTCCTTAATTATTGCTCAAAAGTTTCACATTACTTTTATGAATTATTATATTTAAATATAATCTTTGGCTAGGTTTTAATTTTTTTGAGCATCTGAACATATATTTCTTCATCAAATTAAAAAATATTTGCTTTTGTCTTAGTAGTAATTCCTTTCTAATCCTTCAGGCAAACAGTAACTAGCCTGAAAATGTAAATTGGTATACGCATTTTTGATTTTTTAAATAAATATTTCATTGGGATATTGTCACTAAAATGCATTATAAGTAAAATGAATAAGGAAATGGAACTTGGTGATACTTTTAAATATATGAAGAATAAACTTCAGAAAATCAGAATTAAATAAAAGTTTTTGTCACCCTGAGCACTAGCTCAAATCAGGCTAGGCAGATCAGGCTCAACTTGTCAAAACTTCCCCTTGTAATTTGAAGTGTATGTACCTGATGCTTGGACTCTTTGATCTTAAAATGTCACTGAGGCTATTTGTGCCGGGTCATATCACTTCAAACAAAGTATTTATACTCTTCTCCCTCCTTTCCTTTTATCTGATAGGTAGATAGCTCTGCTAGTGCCTAATTTAAAACGATTAAACACCACTTTTTTTTTTTTTTTTAATCTTAAATCACTGCTTTCCTAAATTGATACTATTATCTACCTTAAAAAATGGATATTGTGGATATATTTTTAATAATAGTAGTTATAAACACTTCTAGACCCCCCCAAAGTGCTGTTAGCACTTAACATTTTCATTAGCATTGCTCTGTTTTATGGGCATGGTTAATAAATACAGAAACACCGAAGGACTCTCCCTACACCTGTGTTCCACTTCTGTGTTTGATAACTATCACTCAAGTTGTGTTAAAACATTTCATGACAATAATAGGACTCAGGCAGCTTAGGTGTCAACTTTTCAGTGTTTTGTAGTCAGATTTGTGTGATTCAATCTTGTTGGCAATGTGAAGATATATGAGTATTCACGTGGCAGATGCAAGTACCTGACCTGGCTCTGCCTGCCCCAGAGTCAGATCTCGGAGCACTGGGGAGCAGGGATGCAGAAGGAACTGGGGTAGCTGTGTGTAAGCCAGGCTGTGACTTGAGGAAGTGTGTGGTAGCTGTAGTGAGGTGAGTCTGTGCTATTTGCAGGTACCGGAAGAGAAATCTGTTCAGCACTGCTGGTCATTGCATGGGTTTGTCACCTTGGTCTCAGTGAAGCTAGGGAGACAGCGCTGTTTGGTGAATTGTATTTGGTGCCGGCACTGAAACATGCAGGGGGGTTAAACCAGGACAACAATATCCCAATACAGCTGAGGGCATAAAAGCAGTGCAGAAAGGTGAATGTTCTGGAAAACTACTGCAGTCTGATATAAGGCATGTTGCAATGCTAAAGTGCGTGCTATGATCTTCGTTAAAAAGTGGGGATTTACATGTGATTGTCTAATCTGGACTTTAAATTTGAACCTGTGTTTTACATACTTTCCTCTCCCATCATTTACGACTCATCCCTTTTAAACACAGTGATGTGTCCTTAGCCTGACATGAAACCAACTTTCTTGACTGGCTGAAAATCAGAAGTATAATAAATGAAATAATTTCTTAGATTATGATTAATATCTGTACAACAGAGAACTCAGTGAACTGAAGTCATCACGCAAATAAGCAGAAAGATCATCATCACACGAATAAGCAGAATGAGAAGATCTCCATATGCATGCTGTCTTCATTTAAGAAAAGGAAATCTAAACTACACTAGAGGTCACTGCAGGTGAACCTTTGAAATTCTGAACCTCTGAATTAATTTACAGGAAGCTCAGGAAAACAATTGTAGACTGCTGTAGTCACCCTTACCTGTTATTTCAAATTTTCCACCAGTTTAGGTAGGGAAAAAAATAGAAAAATTAATTCAGCTCTTGCAGACTTGTTATTGTCTGACAATATTTCAGAAGCTGTGCAGGCTGGTAATATCTACATGAGGGAGAGCAAAATTTAAAACCAGTCATTGTAGTTCCAGGCTAGAACTTCTTTTCCTGAGGGGCACAAAGGATAGCCATCAAAAGGCTCCCCAGATGACTGAATAAACACTGCTCTGCAGCTCCTCATGACTATAGGTCTTTTGTTTTGTATTACTGTGGTCATGCTTATTATTTCCACGGTGCCCAGGAGGCCTAAGCAAGGGTGAAAATCCCATTCTGTACCTCTAAACAGCTACTTGGAAAGACAACTCCAGTTCCAGAGAACTTACTGAGAAGAGATTGTATTTACAAGATGAGTAAGGCTGTTTTCAATGGTGATGGGTAAGCATACTGAAACATGCCCTCACACATACACCATTATTCAACTCAAAAAGATTTTTTCCAGGTAAATAAAGAAACATATATATTCATATAAATATAGGAAGCCATAAGTGTCTATCTCCTGCTTCTGAAAATTCAACTCTAATGTACATGGAAGTGGAAAACAACAGCTGGGAGGGAGGGAATTTGGAGTACAAATGAACACCAGACCCAGCTGTAGATTTGCATTCTTTGACATCTGGTGCTGAATAGACACTGGGGAATTCTGTGACAACATGAGATTTTTTGCATCTGTCAGCTAAATCTAGCAATTCTCTTTGGGACAATTGCATGGATGAAGTGAGACCTGTTTTAAGCCAGAACAAAATAAAAGAAGAGGACTATATCTGATTCAGACCCTCAATTCACAGAGCTGGCAGGTTACATGAATTGGAATCACACATCTGTTCTACAAGAATCTGCAAGATAACTCCCATAAAATACCAACATGTTTGATTTCAGGAGTGCTGTGACTTGGGGCCACTAAAGCCTTTTGGTGCATAATGAAAGGAGTTAAGAATGTGTGCATGTGTGTGTATGTGTGTGTGCAGATGTATGTGGGTAATTCAATAAAAGACAAAGATCTATACAGTTTTAAAAATGGACTTTCAACACTTCTCTGAAGATTATTGGAAAATCCTACTAAATCCAGATACTCAAGGAAAAAAAGGGTTGTGACCATATAAAGTAATCCCATGATTTGTAGTAATCCTGCCCTTACTTTTGTACTTTTACCTCATTCCAGTACAGCTGACCCCTTTTTTTTTTTTTTTTTTTTTTTTTTTGTGATGAGAAAAAATCTTGTGCTTTATGCCAAACCAGTTTGTGGTTTACGTGCAAACAAAGGAGTGAGGGTTTGAGCACCGAAGACATTTCACGTCATTATACATTGTAAATCCTCATGTGCTCTCTTTATCATTGACATTATATAGTGTTTGATACTACACATTGTAAAACACCACTGCCAAATGAAATCAGATCACTAATTCATGGAATCTTACTTTAATCTGTGCTTCACAGTAATTGCCATTCTTAAGAAGGGAGCTACTTAATTTAATGGGATTCTTCTTCGCATGCCACCAGGATAAACACAGACCTCCTATGAAAGCATTTAACCTTGCTTCCCCATAACTCCAGATAACCAGGGATGGGTGTAGACAGGCCAAAGAGCGGTGCTGTGAAGTCTGTGGCTGTGACCTTTCCACCTCAGATATCTGAGAACACACACTGCAGCAGCACTAATGAAAGTGCCCTTTCTTGATGAACTCATGCTTCACAGTCCCCGCCATGGTATATTGCATAATCCGGGATGATGTCAAAATGATCCGCAGTACAGAAGATGAAATAAGTCTCCTTCCTTCTTCCTTCCTTCCTTCCTTCCTCATCTTCCTCTCAGACAGGCTGCTTGAATTGCTTTTGTTTTGGGATGACCCTTGTTCCAGGTGATTTCTGCACCAAAAGGAAAGCAAAGAGCTTTACACAGCTGCTGCTTGCATATCATGTGTGTGGACTCCTCAGATATAAGTCAACAAGACCATTTCTATGCTGTTGTCTAGTCCCCATTATCTGCACACACTAATCAAATTTAAGCTATTTTCAGATACAGTGATTGAGCAAGTTATTGTGTTATAATGTTGCTCTTTTAATGACAAATGCAATTGTGCTATTGCCATGAATATATAAAGAAATACTCTGAACTGCTTTGGCTCCCAGTTGTCCCTTTGCAAAATAATCTTTGTGCTACACGTGGGATGGTAAATGTTTCTGTAATACAGCCCCTGACTCCTTTAATTATGGCTTATTACCTTGTGAAGGAAAAAAAAAGCAACTAAAGCTCTTAAATACCATATTAATGACAGCTATAACTGTAGATATTACCTTAGCAGTGCTGTAATGGAGTCTGGTATGCTGAATGAAAGTCCACAATTTCCTAAAAATGTACTGCTGTAACTATGAAAGAGACACAGGTGGGAGAAAATAGGCTTTGTTGACAACTTGTGTCTGACAAATGTTAAAACCCAATTCCTGAGAAATTCTCAGTTGGTTATAAATCAGGCATTAGAGAAACTTGCTCCCTTGAGACAACTGCCAAGTTTTTGCTCTGGATATAGATGCAATTCTTTAAAGACAAAATGTATTTACAGCTTGTATGATACTTGCTATTTCTAATAATGATTCTCAACAAGCTAACAAATATTTTTTGTTTATAGTATAAAGTGTTGGTATGTCTGTGTGGTTTTTTGTGTGTCCATGCATGTGAATGTAACCTTTGCACATATTATGCAACCTGTGGGGGCCACAATAGGTGGTATTCAAGTCATGTAATTAATTAAGTCCAGGCCACCCTGAGGCATAAGTCCAAGGGCATGCACACATCAACCTTTCTAAAACTGGATCAGTAGTTTACAACACTGACACGCCTAAGCAAGAGACCGACATTAACCTTGTGATAGATTTAAATCATTCCAGGCAGTCTGTTTTGAATTTCCAAATGTGCCGTACTGTTCTAATGAGTTAATTCATTTGGTATCCATTTCCTCCTGTCAGCTGCTTTTGGAAAATAAATTGTGCATTGTTATCTTAGCCTTGTCTATCCTATTAATGGTTTAGGAAATGCAGCTGAAGATTATCTGTAGTTTTCTATGGCAGAGTTTGACCTGTGACAATGTAATGATCAATCACATCTTGAAGGAGTCAGAAACAGTGAAATCGTTATTCTTTTTTTTTTTTCTGTCTGCAGAGTAGTTTTTAAAAAAATGTTTTCCACCATTTGTGCAGAGGGGTAAAAACAAAAGTGTTTTCCATAATTTTTGAAAAACATCCATTTCAGTGTTTAAATGTCATCCACCCAAAGAGGGTGGATATAGCAATATATTACATATTCCACATTTCTCAGCAGTACATTAGAAGTCTTCTCTGTTGCCCTCTTGTTTGGTGTTAGTGATTATCTTGGCAACACCTGGATAGTTTCTGGTGTTTTGGGGTGCTATGTTAGGCTGGGTGTGAGAGGGGATGGATGTAGTGCTCCCAGCCCACAGCATCTGGCAGTGCCAGACCCACAAAAGAGCGGTGTCCCTGGTGTTCCCCAAATGCTCATCTCCTTCAGCTCCATCGTACAGCTTTCACCTGTCAAATCCTGTCCCCTGCTTCTCAACACATGTTAAAGATGGAAGTACTTTTATCCTCTAACTCACTCTAGAGAGAGGCACTGATTTTAATTGGTCCTGCCTGAGTTTAGAAAATAAAGCTACCCAGGGTGTCTCTGATTCCTGTTGAGGAGTAGAAAAACTTCCACAAGAGACAATTCCTGTCTGTTAAGTTATTAGTTGGCAACAGTACCCTTCCCTGCTCTTTCTAATCCTACCACCACTTCCAAATACTCACAGTTTTTCCTTACACATCTTCCTCAGTTTCCTAGCAAGCATTTCAAATCTGCTATTCTATGATTATTCCAGCAACTAATTTTTAGAAATGCCTAGATAGCTTTGCTCCCTGGTGTTCTGGCTGCGTTGCCCATGTCAGCTTTTTGCACTGTGCTGTGTGCTAACCCCACTGCAGCACACAGCACAGTGTTATTCATGCTCACACTCTCCCTTCTCTCCAACCACAATTAGATCATCTCAAAATATCTGTACTGCTCAGAGGCTCTAGATCTGATGTGAGGGTTCACAGATTAATTTAGCACAACTAGTTTACCTTGGGATTTAAACAAGCTACTATTTTAACAGCCCTGAATCTTTTTGGCTGTCCCTGTGCTGAAGTCCTATGCTTCCCATAGGATCTGTGGGAATAAAAAGTGTATAAAAAGAAAAAGAAGCACAAAACTCTTAGCCTTTCAGCCCTCCATTTCCCTGTGACTTTCAGACAGTTCTGACTTGCACACTGGAGCGACTCAGAGTTATTTTTTTTTATGAGAAACAGATTGAATGCGCAGGTTTTCATTGATCTCAGTGCAAGTGAAGTTCACCTCTCTGAAGAATCCCCAAAGAGTTTAACACATGGTGCCAGAAATACTCAGGACCTTGTACTTGAGTGTGTTTTCTCCTGCACTTCCCATCTCCTCAGCAGGTGGTGGAAAGACTTCTTTATTTTCCCTCATTATGCTTTTCATTGTTGCAAATGGCTTTGACCATTTTAGTCTTACTTTAACTTCAGCCACCGAAGTGGAGCCTTCAGTTGCCCTTTAATTCTGAACTGAGGGCTGAGTGGGAACAGAAGCTGCTTACATAGTAGTGAGGAAATCCATTCTCTGAGAAGGAATTCTCTGCAGCCTCATGTGGTATTGCCTGAGCACAATCCTCACCAGCACTTATGTGATGCACAAATCTGAGCTGGGCAAGCTGCTTAGCTTGCACCCTGTGCACATCTGAATTTTCATTTTCTCAGAATGTTCCATAGTGAGCATAAAAAACCCCTCCCCTGGAGGTGGTGGTGACTCTTGGATGGCTCTGTGTACCTTGTGTGGCCTGCATGTGCTTGGCTTTTTACTGGTGTCTGGAGACAGCTCAACCCTTGGTGTTGAAGAGCTGCAGCTGTGCAGCTGCACATCTGCGTGATACTCCAGGGAGAAATGGACCACAATTTGATATTCATAAATAGCTTCTCAAATCCGAGATCTGTGAAAGCAAATGCTGTCAATGCTTCTATTTAAATTTTATCCTTATTTTTACAAAATTACAACCATAATAAAAAATGTCCTATGTTCTCTGTGACAAAATTTGAAGTCCCAGTGGAGTCTGTGGAATTGCATCAAATATGCCAGCAGAGAATTTGGCCTATGAAGGGAAAAGAAGTCTCAATAATGTTATATTCTCAACATGAGTGTTTATTTTTCTTATTGCCAGTACCAAAAGATCATTTTCTCTGTTCAGAACTCGGACTGCAATTTTTACTATCAAGAATATAGCTTCTAAATAGAAAAATAAAGAGTAAACTATGATAATTTACCATAACAATATTACTTGAGCCTTAATTTTCAAGTGAAAACATTACTGAACTAAATTTCAGATAGTGTTTTATTATGTGCAAACCACTGTTGATATAATAACTTCTATTTTAGTTTGCTAGCAAAGAAAAGAACAATGTGACCCATTTAAAAACTGGCTCACAGAAAAATATTAGCAAGCTGTTTATCAATTGTGTTTAATTTTGGTGATAAGAACCTTTTGATAGAAACATTTCTTTGTTACAAAACCAACAGTAGCATAGGATTTATTTGACCATAACACATGTGCTTTGCAATGGTACTGAGAAATGGACTTTCTGTTTGTTGCCAATTGTTTGGAAAAGAAAAAAAGGGAAAATTCTCACCTTTGAATTTTTCAGCAGATGGAGCCTGATTTTTGAAATCTCTGATTAAGAGAAAATTACACTGACATGGCTGGAGTGCTGCAATGGCTGGACACAGCTAGACAAAAGCAATCCAAGAGGTCTCTAGAGTGCATTGATAGACAGTAATGAAAAAATAATATTACAAAATTATTATTAATAATAGTAATATTTCTGATACAGGTGCCTGAGGAGGTGAAGAGAAGAGATGCTCTGCAGATCTGATTTTCACAAAAGGAGATGAACTGGTTGAGAATCACAGAATCACTAAGTTGGAAGGGACCTTCAAGATCATTGAGTCCAACCCATACCCCAATACTTCAAGAAGACCATGGCACTGAGTGCCACATCCAACCTTTTTATAAACACATACAGGGATGGTGACTCCACCACCTCCCTGGGCAGACAATTCCAGTACTTTATCACTCTTTCCGTAAAAAAACTTTTTCCTAATATCCAACTTATATTTTCCTTGGCACAGCTTAAGACTGTGTCCTCTCATTCTGTCAGTGGTTGCCTGGAGAAAGAGACCAACCCGCACCTGACTGCAACCACCTTTCAGGGAGTTGTAGAGAGCGATAAGTTCACCTTTGAGTCTCCTTTTCTCCAGGCTAAACAACCCCAGCTCCCTCAGTCGTTCCTCACAGGGCTTGTGTTCCAAGCTCCTCAACAGCCTTGTTGCCTCCTCTGGATGCGCTCAAGAATCTCAACATCCTTCTCAAACTGAGGGACCAGAACTGGACACAGCACTCAAGGTGTGGCCTCACCAGCACTGAGTACAGGGGAATTGTGACCTCCCTGCTCCTGCTGACCACACTATTCCTGATGCAGGCCAGAATGTTTTGGCCTTCTTGGCCACCAGGGCACACTGCTGGCTCATGTTCAGCTGGCTGTCAACCCGTACCCCTGGGTCCTTTTCCACCTGGGCACTGTCCAGCCACACCATGCCCAGGCTGTAATGCTGCAGGGGGTTTTGTGTGGGACTCGGCAGTTGGACTTTTTAAACTTCGTCTTAAACTTCATCTTACTGGACTCTGCCCATCTATCCAACCATTCCAGGTCTCTCTGCAGAGCCTCCTACCCACCAACAGATTGACACACACTCCCAGTTTAGTATCATCTGCAAATTTTCTGATGATAGACCCAACACCCTCATCCATGTTATCAATAAAAATATTGAACAGAACTGGCCCCAGCATAGACCCCTGAGTGTGAATGCCAGGAGCAGATGGAACTCAGGATCCTGAGAGAAGATAGCAATTTAATCACCCTGGACATCAGAAAAGCAAACAATAGGAAATGCTTGGAAGAATCCCATGTGACACCCTCTTGCAGAAGAGAGGAGTTCAGGAGGGATGACTGATTTTCAAGGATCAGCTCTTCTAGACTCAAGAGCTGTTGATCCCCACCTGCAGGAAGTAAAACAGAGGTGGGAGGAGGCCTGCATGGATGAACAGTAAGCTCAAAGGTAAAAAAGAAACATTCAAGAGGTGGAAGTAGTTAGGTCATATGGGAGGAATATAGAGACACTGACCAAGCATGCAGGGATCAGGTTAGCAAAGTCAAATACCACTTGGGTTTGAACCTAGCTAGGGATGTGAAGGGCAAAAAGGGAGGTTTCTACAGGTACATCATCAGCAAAAGACAGTCTGGGCAAAATGTTGGCCAACTGCTGAACAGGGCAGATCACCTGGTGACAGGGGACACAGAAAAGACCAGTGCGCTTTTCTCATTGGTCTCTATTGATAAAACCAACCTTCAGGGATCTCTGGCATCTCCCTGTGTCCCTAAAAGACATGGAAACATCTGGAATAAGCAAGAATTGCTGTTGTGGGAGAACAACCAGATTAGGGGACCTTTACAGAGCTAGAATGAGCACAAGTCAAACTGATGGGATGCAACCACAAGTGCTGAGGGACCTAATGTCACTGCAAGATGTTTCTTGATTTGCCATCAGGGAAGGGTCCTGAGGACTGGAAAAAAGCCAATGTCACTCTTTTCTTCAAGAAGAAACTACACATCAGTTGGAGCAGTGTATGTTATCTTGAGTTTAGCAAGGTTTTTCGCACTGGTGGCTGTAACATCCTTCCTGGTAAATCAGTGATGTACAGACTAGATAATGGGACTGAGTTGGAATGAAAATTGCCTGAACTGCCAAGCTGAAATGACTATGATCAGCCACACAAATTCACCTGGAGGCCACTCACCAGAGGTGAACACTGGAAATTGATACTGGGGCCAAAAGTGTTTAACATCTTCCTAAGATAGCTGGAAAGTGGGACAGAGTGCTTCCTCAGCAAGTTTACATGATAGAAAACTGGAATGAGTGGCTGCTATACCACATGTTTGTGACTGGAGAAACATGCTGACGAAAACATCTTGAAGGTCAAAAAAGGGAAATGCCAAGTCAAAGGAACCCACAGAACTGCGTGTACCTGTAAAAGCTGGGGTCAACCATCTGAAAAGCAGCTTGAGGACCTTCTGGGCTTTATTGAGAAGAGAATTGCCAACAGGTCAAGGAAGGTGATCCTGCCCCTTTACTCAATGCTGTTGTGTCCACACCTGAAGTTCTGGGTCCTGTTCTGGGCTGTTCAAGACAAGAGAGATGTTGAACTACTGGAGGGAGTCCAGTGCAGGGCCAAAAAAATGGTTAAGGAACTGGAGTGCCTTTCCTAACAGGAAAGGCTGAGATAGTGAGATAATTGGGGTGATTGAGCCATGAGATAAGGATGCTCAGTGGGGATCTCATCAGTGTGAATAAATGCCCGGAGGAGGTTATTGAAAAGGATAGAGTCAGGATCTTTTCAGTGGTGCCTAGTGACAGGACAAGAGTCAATGGAGCAAATGAAACACAGGAAATTCCATTTAAACATAAGAAAAAAAGTGATTTCTGTGAGAGTAGTTAAACACTGGCACAGGTTTCTCAGAGAGGTGATGGATTCTCTATCCTTAAAGATATTCAAAACCCAATGAGATGTGGCCTTGAAAATCTGCTTTAAGTTGACCCTGCTTTGAGCAGGGGGTTTGGCTTAGTTGGTTTCTAGAGGGGCTTTCCAATCTCAGCTATTCGGTGAAATTATTGCTTATATAATAAACCAGAAAGTTTGGCTCTGTAGGAAGCCCCATGTCACAGTCTGGATGCAATCATGCTCTTCTGCTGCTAATAAGTCCTGTTAGAAAGAATTAATGTATAAACCTGCAGGGTATAAGTGCACGTAGGATCCTGACATGCAGGGAGACAGCAGGGACCTTTTGGCGCCTGATTTTGGGATAGATGGGAGGTGCTTTGGTGCTCCTCACCAGCTACATTCCCTAGAGGCTGGGCTTTCCCATGGCCAGGTAGGGATCACAGTCAGCATGATGACCTTGGTCTGTCAGCCTGCCAGAGAGCAGGATCGAGCTGCTGGTGGGGAACAGCTCTTTCTGCTGGCATTGAGGCACCTGGGGAGCCCTTCTCTCAAGGAGAAGCTGCAGCTGATTTTTCCAGCCTACTTTCTAGACCTTTTGTGCTGATCTCACAAAGCACAAAGGGAATAGAGCAGGCCTGGGAATATGTGTGAAAAAAGTGTCTCCCCCAGCCTTCTATATACTGAAGAGAAGGCATATGTAACAGCATTACTTCTGTAGCAGTTCCATAGAGATAAAACCACTTTGGAAAGCAGCTTTTTCATTGTTTAGGAAAACTGATTTTGTCCCCGAGTTTGAACTAGATGAAGTAATTTTTATTTCTTTCCAAGTTCTTCTTATTGTTATGACTATTATCAACAATGAATTGTTTTGAACACCAAGAATAAGAAGAAAGCTATACTTCTTTTGTTTTCACATCATCCTTTTACTAGTAAATTTTGGCCTAGATCACTTACTCTGTTTAGGATTAATACTTTCATGAGTCTTATTTTCAATAGCTATGAAGAAAAGACATTTTAAAGCAAATTGAGGTAGGTGATATCTTCTCTAATGCATTTTTAATGTATGAGACATTGTAAAGACCAGAAAAGCATTCTGCGCTCTGCAATACAATTTGACAACTAAAAAAACCCCAAAAAACAACCCAATAAAAAGGAAAGTAAGATAGAAACAAGATAACAGAACATATGGGAGAGTGAAAGATACAGCCATGCTATTAGTGTCCAGTTAGCTAATTTTATTGGTATTTCCAATATATGAAAGATGCATATATAAATGATGATAACTGGTGGGGGTATGAAGATGTGATATTAATAAGAATGTAATTCCATAAGAAATTGTCTTGTGATTTATATCTAATAATATTACTGAAATGAGGCTAATGAAGGCAATCAATCCTATATAATACATTTTTGTAAATCTGATTCTCATAGCATTTCTGATAGAAAGAGGGTAGATTTGTCTTCTCCCAGGAATCCCTGCTGACATGAGAACTCCCACTGAAATCAATTGACAAGCAGACAGGGGAGTAAATAAACCTCTGTGGATTCTGCTCTGCATTGCTTCTGTGATCCCTCTCTCATGGCAATGTCCTTAGAGTCACATTTTCTGTAAGAAAACTGCTCCAGTGCATCTGGAGTGCAGTCTCACATCTTACTGTTCTACTAATGAACTCTGCCTGCTATGAAAGCTGCCTTTGCTCTTGCTGTCTTGGGTACTGATCACAGTCTCTCCAGACCTTTGGGTATCTATGAAATTAGCTGGTCTATGCTGCACCCCACACTGCTTGGTTTTACTGATATTCCACTAAAGGAAGGCAAGCTTCATTGTATTTACCCATTCTGTGTGAACACTGCAGACTGCATATTTCTCCACCCCAGCCTCCCTTTCTCTAAGCATTTGAAATTAGCTTCAGTTGGGTTTAGCAGATCCCTGAAAACATAGATACTTATTTCCCGCTTTGTCCTCTTCCTTGTCCGTTTCATTACTCATTTTCCTTGGAAAGGACAATGTGATTTATAATATATATCTTTATAGCATTTGGAAGAACACCTATTTCTTCAGAGAAATGTAATGGGATATATTTAAAACCACAGAACTCTGGGACTACTTTGCTTTGCTTGAAGTACAGACTCACAGTTCTCCTTACAGGGGGATATCTACAGTGAAATTACTAATCTTGTGAATAATTTTGTGGATGGTAAAATATGACCTCTGTTCTGGGTAGATTGTGAAGAGAAGCTCCCACACATTTATCTCCTCATGCCCAACACCTTTCTCTTCAGTATTCTGGAAATGGACAGTCTAGCAGAGATTTCTGTCACCATGCTAATTTAAGTCAATGGCAATAACCTTTTTGATGTCAGTGAGGCAGGATAAAATCTTGTGTAAACAGCCAGTCCTCACATCTTTCCTCATCTCAAGAACCTTGCTGACATCTAACTTAACACCTTACATATCCACCTCTCTCAAATACTTAAGTAAGCACAGATATGTGACAGCAAGTTGGTATAATGGTGAAGAAAAGGATGTGAATGTAAGGTTGGATTAAAGGTATAGTGCTATAGGAAAGATTATATAATCTATTTTTCTGTGCAAGTTTTTTTCTATATCTCAGTCCAAGCAGCTGTTGAGCAAGCAGTATGAAGCACAGGAGATTAGGGGCAAAAATATATTTGAACCATCAGATACTTGGAAAAACTGTAGTCTTATCTGAGCTTGGTGAGAAGAACCTGAGAAATTACATGGAGTGGGAGAAACACCAAGGGAATGGTTACTGGTTTAAAAAGAAAAACAGTTGATTATATTTTGTCAGAAAATGAAAGATTTTAGTCCTGACTGTTTTTTTTGTGTTTGAGGTTACTTATGAAAACCACTCAGCACAGAGCAGATTCTGGCACTGTTGTGCTGTCATCACTGTAAATTCATTAATGTTTCACTGAACTGTTCTAATGCCATTAGACTGCCCCATGTCACATGTGTTATGTCTATGAATGGTCTCTTTGTCTCCCTGTGTAGCAAGGAAGGTGAAAGGAACTGGAATTGAACTCATTCTTCAAGCCGAGAATCTTTGCAATCATAAGTAAAGGAAGTCCCTTCAGCTTAACATTCATTGCCTCCCCCCTCATTTAAAAACAGATGTCAGCAAGAGGAGAAGACAGGTGCAGAGTGCCTCTTTCAGCCGCTTTTGAAGGAAAGCAGGAAGTGAATAAGTCGAAGAGAGCTGTGCTGTTTGGATCTTTAGAAAGCGTTTATAGCTTCTAGATATGTTCCTGCTAATGAGGGCGTGAGATGCCAGCTCTTTGGAAGTTAGAGCATGCACTGTTGCACTCTCATCAACTCTGATGGATGCACTGTATATGGGAATATAATTTAAACATGAGGATATGAGGAATGATTTATTAAGTTACCGCAGAAAGCACTTAAGAAAAAAATGTCTAATACTAGAAAAAATGTCTAGCATATTTGAATGCTATTTAAACAACAAAATTTGTTATAAACTGGAAACCTCCAAATGGATGCTCTTCATATACTGCAGCACTGTCTGAAACTGCATATAAATACCCTGAATAGTAGCTGTAAAATATTACAAGTTACAACAGCCAGACTCATGAATCTAATGAAGGCCACAAACTGATTGCTGTCAATCATATTATTACTGTTAAAGCCAGCAGCAATATCTGAGAGCTATACTATGTTTGGGTGTGTGGTGAGATCTGACTACTGCCATTTTCTTCCTTAGGCAATCCAACTTCCACACAAAATAGTGTCCTTTTTTTAATGGGGGCAAGATCAGATACAATACGATCCATGGTCTCAACAAGACTCCAGACTGAGGTGAGCAGAAAAGAATAAACAGCACTATAACCTCTCTCTCCTCTCTTTCCACATCTATCAGGTTTGATATGGGTGGAAATACACTATTTGTAGAGAGCTGGCACAATTTGCCCTCATTAGCAGAGCATGCCCACTTTTTTTTGTTGCTCTTGCTGTACCTCATTTAAAACACCACACTGCAGGGATTTTTCAGTGTCTGGGATTTTGACTATGAAAGAAGTTTACAAGAAAAATGCCTGCAGCTTCCTGGGCTTGATGCACTGCATTGTCTGGCATGGATTTCACTTTCCCCGTGACACTAAAAAAGCACTGCCACGGAACAACTTGCTTTGATGCCCTATGCTAGCAAACAAGTTCTGTGATAAACAAGCTTTTAATCCTGTATTTCCACACTTTTGCTAAGCAAGTCACAACTTGACAAAGTTGCGTGTTAATGACTGTGCCAAAAGCTCAGCCCTGAACAGAGATGGTAAAAGAGGGTAGGAGAGAAAGTGCTCACAGGAAGCACACAGAAGAATTGTACTTTAGAAGCTTTGTCAGTGCTTTGATTTAGTGCCATCAGTCCTACTGCAGCAGGCCATCTAATAAGTGCTAGTGTAGACAGTCCAGGAAAACTCCCAAGAAGCCATAAATGATGTTTGTGACCTGAAAAGTATCTTCTGCCTCCCTGAATTCTAAGGAGGGATCTGCCAAAGCAAGAAACGTGCCGGGACTCATGAGGAGCCTGCCCTTTCATGTGATAAGGTCTCTATGGAAAGAACTCTAGTGTAATCAAAGTACATAAGTAGCCAAATCTCAGCATCAAGTTTTCAGGAAAAAGCCCTGCTGGCCCCTTCCATATGACACCAGTCCACATGTGTCACAGTGAACAGCTGGTGAAGAACCATCTTCTGCAGGGAATACCCAGCACTAAAATGTATGTTAACATACACAAACAGAGTTTTTCATGTCAAAATTAGCAGTTTGGGAAGCAGCACAGGAATGTAAGTAGCAGAACCTTTTCTGCTCACCTGGAAGTTGTCTTGTTGCTTGAAATCTTCACAATGTCCTGAAGTATTCCACTGTCTCCTGGTGCTACTCCTCTGTTCCCTTTTCAGATGAAGAGAGGCTGAGCTTATCTGCTTTGCTGATGCAGATACAACAAAGCACACTATGCTACGAACTAACTCCCTTCCTGTGGAACAAACATTAGGAATCAGCTGAAGAGATATTCAAGATTCCTGTGTTTCAATATAAACCAGAAAATATGTTTTCAGATTCTTAAGCAGGAAGGCGCAGACTGTAATACAAAATTTAATCACAAGAATAAAAAGTCTGACATCAAACTCTTCTTTTTAGTGAAGAAGTCTTCTCTGATGCTTCCTCCCTGCCCTTTTTATACAAAACTGAAGTACACAGATGCATTGTAGAACATCGATAAAACATTAGAGCTACTACATGGCTCTAAATTCCTGCACAGAAATCTGGAGCATTTTTAGAAAATATTTCATATTCAGTGTGGGAAAGTAATTTTATTTTTAATGGTAGCTGTTTGAAGTTGTTCAGCAGCTTGGAAAGTTACCAGTTCCTTTTCATTTCTGAATATGAACATTTCTGTGTCTGTGTAAGATCTCAATTTTTTGAGGCTGTGGTTCTTTTTACCACACATCTAATCTCAGCCAAATATTACAATATTTTTGATGATATTATCACCCTGGAAGAATACTAATTCAGGAAATCAGTGTTCAGTGTTTCTGTACAAAACATTTAAATTAGAACAAAATCAGTTGCTTTTTCCTAGCTAGCTACATGACACATGATTAATGATCGGTAAAATATAAATCTGAATGGAAATACCTCCTCTTCCAAGGTTCCAATTGATCAGTTTTGAATTGCCAGACTGAGGATGTGAGCTAAGAGCCTCTCTGGCGGCATTACAGTGACACACTGCCTGTCGTTTACTGTCTGCTCTCCTTTTAAGTACTTGTTCCTTCCTAATTATTATCTGCAGTTGGCCACTGGACTTTGAAACTGCAAACTGCTTTCCATATCTTTTGTTTCCTGCTGTATATACATTGAAATCACACGGTTTGTTATCTGTCACTAAGATTACAAGCAGCATGACTTAAAAGGAAAAAGGTAGAAAAATGTCAATGAAAATAGGGAGCTCTCTACTGTCTATAAAATATGACACATCTCTGTAACCAAAAATAGAGCAACAGGACTTAGAATCTGGTTCTGACTCAGTGGTAAATAGAAAATAATGAGTAGAAGTAAGGAGAAAAAGACTAAAGAAATATTGATATATAGTAGAAATTTCAGGCTATAAAAATATTGATGTATGCTTCAAGAAAAATCAATAACCAGGTTTCACACAAATTTGTGAATTTTTAAACTACATTAATTAGAGAAGACACAAAGTCATTACTGGCTAAGACTGTGCATTTTTTGATAGTGATAAAGAGAAAAAATATTCATAAATCTTTTAGGGGTTATATTTTTGGGGAGGAGTCTGATCTGCTTACATCATGAGTGGTTAAGAATTTTTCATTTTATTAATAACTACGTGGTTATATGCAATAACATGAAATCTGATTTAAATGTATGTACCTATATGGGTACTTACCAGGTTCTCACAGAAGTCTGGGGTTTTACAAAAACTGGCTGAACAGATCCTCAGTCTGCTGCGTAAATGTTTAACAAATACAGGAAAATGTTGTAAGTCATAAATAATGTTAGCATTATGCAAATATTAAAGAAAAAAGAGAGAGAAATGAGATAATTTAGGTAATTACTCTCTGGTTTGACAAAAGTTGCAGGAAAACTACAAACAATATGGGACTACAGTTATATAAACTTGATGTAGAGGACTAATGCTAGAGACAATAGTTTTACTAGAAGTGTGTCTTGTCAAAGAAACCTATAATGAGACAACAGATTTGTTGAGGCATACGACTTAGTAATGTATGAGATACTGATTAAAAAGGAAGACTAGAGCTCATTCAAAGGAATGGCATTTTAGGTCAACAAAATGTAAAATGATAATGCAGTCTGTGTCCATGTTCTGTAGACTGGCGACTGGATATCCTGATTCACAAAGAGGATTTAATGTTTACACTAAATCGCAACAAACAAGAGAGCCAATATTTGATTCAACAGCAAAAAAAAGACTAATGTGAATCCTAAATATGCAAATAAAAAATAAATGAGTACATAGAGGTAAAACAAGACCTACTCAGGAGAATTCCAGTGTCTGTATTTTTAATGTGGAAAATGGGAAAATGTGCAGAAAAAAGCTAAACGCAAGATATCTTGGTCTTAACCCTCTAGAGAGTGTTAATGAGCTTCTTTTGTTTAAACCTCACAGAGTTGATGGGACTAACACAGGTGAGTACATTAGAGAGCAACACAAAGCAATAAAGGCTTTTCTGTCAAGGCAAAAAAGCATAACATGAAATAGAGTCTCAGAGTTAATGCCAGAAAAATTCAAATTTGAATTGAATACCCATTAATTATCACTGAAAGAGATTAACCACTGGAATGAGCTCTCAAAGTAATGAGTTCTTCATGTCTTGATGTCTTCAGGACAGGCATTTCTGAAAAATGTGCTGTGGCTAAACACAAATTAATATTTATTGATAGCCAAATAATTAACTTAATACATGAGTAATAACTTGTGATATAGGAAGAAGATTATGCTCTGAATGTACAATTTTGTAGCTTTTCCAGAACAGGGCACATGAGCACTCTGCCAGCTATGGATGTTGGCACATTGATAAGTGAAACTTAGTAGAATGAATGATGAACTGACACTCCTTTCACCATCATTTTACAGACTCAAATATGTTGTTATCTCCTTGTCACTTCATGCTGATCAGTGCTTCCTCTTTCTCACAAGCTTCCCAGCTGAAAAGCCAACACCTGTAAGCCAACACCTGCTTGTGCTCTTCTAGTGAAAAAATGATCAGGCCCATTATTTAGCTCATCCTCTCCTTTTATTTTAAACTGTAGAAGGTATTATATCTTTCCCTGATTCAGTGCTTCTCTTTGAAACATTTAATTTTCAAGTGGTGGATTTAACATCTATCAGTTCCACTGACAAAGAGCCACTCCTTTTCAATAGCTATTAGATGAAATTCATAATTCTTCAAGAATCTCATATAATGTTAAAGATCTGAAATTATTACAGCTAGGTAAATACATATTTATCATCTTCTTATTGCAGATTTCCCCCCTGAGCTTCCCATCTTCTTCCTTTAATTTGCATCTGGGTGTATCATTAGTTTTGCTTCCTTCCTAAAGAAATAAAGAAATAGGAATTTTGCCATGTCAGGGCCCTTGATTATAATTTGCATTCTGTGTTTCAGAGACATCTTATTTCATCCTTTAACTGCGCTTTCCTTTTAGCCCAATAGCAGAAAAAAAAATCTCACTTCCCTTCTAGTCTTCTGTTGTCTTCAGGAATTCACTTTACTTTTGTGCTTATTTTACTTCATCAGTAATTCCTATTGTATCTACCATTTTTTGTAATTATTTACACATTTTTTTCCCCAGGGCTAGATCCTTTTAGGGAAAAGAAATGCTCCAGCAGACTACATAGATTACTCTCTAAATTTTTTTGTGTGCCCTAAAATACACTGTACTTTATTATTATTTCTTCTGTTCCTTTTTGTTGGTAGTATTTTCAGTCCTTAAAAATGACTTCCTATTACTTGTTTTTTGTTTTTTTTTAAAGCTTGACACTATCCCCCTATAGTTTTAATGTCCTCAAGCTGTATGTCTAAATTCTCATGGGCAGACATAATAGTCCTGTTTTACACATTTGAACACTGGGAGAATACACACCAATTATAGCCATAGATTTGTGGCTTCTTCCCATTTTCCCCTCATCTCTTATGCATGTAAAAGTTTTGTAACTATACTGTAGAAAAAATGTCTGTACATACTTGCAGATCAGTATGTTGATCTTTAAATTCCCCACCCAAACAATGCATATTATGAAGTGAAACTTGTGAACTGTGTTTCTAATAGTCTAATAGGACAGTCTGCTGTCCTATTAGCTGGCAAAACCATGAAGCACAAATTTACACTTACAGACCATTAAAACACACAAGGCCATGGAAACCACCCTTTGGTGTAGATGTAAGGGGAAATTGGGATTCAGCTGACATATTTTTGCAATGTTTGCAGAATGGCATTTGCCAATGTAAACCTGACTTGCAAAGATACAGTGTCTTTCTCTGTGAATGGTTTATTTTTGCTATAAATGGCCTCTTTATTGGAAATAGTCTCCTTTTACCTTTTCATCTTGGACTGTTTGAACTACCCAACCAAATTTTCCGTTCTGTAATGCATTACCACAGATGAAGAAAATAAAAATAGGCAAATATTATAATTCCAGGAATACTGGAATATTATTCCTTCTAATGAACTAGTTCCTTTTAAAATGTGCAGAGAGATTTTTGGTATTGGTACATATAAGCTTGTGCTTTAAAGTTTAAATGCAGAACTCTGTGCTTATACTTCTAAACTTGGAAAAGAATCCAAGTTCTTTGAGAGCGTAATCTGGCATGAAATAAAGATAGAAACAAGACCACGTGGGAGATATTTGCTGCTCAACCACATAGTCAACACAGGAAGAAATATAGGAAGCCCTATTTACTGGAAAAACTAGATGCTTCAGGTCCCTTCAGCTGTCTTGTTATATGGACAAAGCCTTTTCTTTCAGGACACCTTGGCAAGAACGGAGATCTGGCTTGCAGAAGCACAAATAGACTCTAAATTACCTCAAATGGAATGCTCTAATATGCCATAGAACAATTCCCTCCTTAACAAAATATTAAATCCTGCATGCTCTCACCTACTGTATGCTGGCAGCAACATTATAAAGAAAAAAATGGATAATACAGGAAATATGATCATCTCAAAGTCTGAATTTCTCATCCCTTGCACCAAGGAAATAACTCAGTTCTGTGGTTGCAAAGAATCATGCAGGTAGGAATGTACAGTCTAAAATAACTTGTATGTAATTCTGCTTTTCTTTTTTCCTATAGATTTCTTAGTAATCTGTACAGTTCTCTGCGCTGGACTCTCACTTTTCAGAATGATGAAAGCAGTAAGTAAAGTTGTGGACATATAACCTTTAAAAAAAAATGTTGCTAGTCATTAATGAGAATTGTCACATAAAAATTTTTCAGCGTTTGGATGGTGAATATTGGTTCAGACCCAGTTTTCCTAGTATATACCTTTAAAGGTGTTTGGGGAAGATGCATTTTCTGAAAAAAGAAAAAAACAATGTAGAACAAAAAATAATATCTAGATATAGAAAACAGACGAATAGTTGCTTGGGATCTCACCAGGATTACGTATTATTCTAACCATGTTTCAAAATGCCATTTCTTGTTTGACAAAAGGAATGTCAGAGACTACACTGCTTCTGAACTACTGTTGTGTGAGTTCAAAGAGGAACTATTAAGCCCTGGATCTGTGCCTGATCTTTTTATTCCTGGTACTATCAAAGGCTGTGATCATTAATCCCAGTTAAACAAGAAGTCAGCATGTTCCACAGAATCAAAGGGTGAACCAGGATTCAGGAGAGAGATCTCTTGCTCCCGCTTCTGTTGATGAGGTGTTATGTCACTTATGAAGTTCATGCTGGCTGAGCTTCTCCTACTTTTTGCTCAACGATTTAATATTAGCTTGGGCGCCATAACTATACCTGTCTAGATTTTTCAGTGTGTTGAGCCATTGTGGCAAACATCATGGGTAATGCATTTTTGCAGAATAAAGAGTGCATTTAGATGTATTATAGTTATATATTTAATATCTTTTCATTGTAAATTCAACTATTTGGAGCTTCTACACAAATAATTTTACATTTGTATCATTAAAGGAGATAAAATCCCACTGATTTTGAACAAATCTTAGCTCATGCCACTATCTCCATCTGATTGTTTCAGCCCTTTTATTTGAAGCTGGGTCCATAAATGAATGAGTTGGTTTGTGCAGAAGTCAATATCCACATTCATCTTAATCCATTTTTGTAAGGTCAAGATTCCCATTTATCACTGGAGTTTAATGTGAGGGCTCAGTCCCATGCTCCATTTCCTTAGGGAGAAGCAAACTCCTTTGTTACTTACATACTTCACCATTAAAGAAATCCCAGGAATCTTCAGTAGAATTTAATCTTTTGATTCTCTAATCTGTGCCTGACAGATACTAAGGAAGAAACAGAATATTTGCAAAAAAACTACTCAGCAGACATATGGGAATAAAGATATGTCAATTATTCAGCAAGGATTTACCTACTATGCCTAATTTTGCTGAGGAATATGGAAAGAATTGAAAGGTTAAAAGGAAGGGCAACAAATATATAGCAAACCATGAAAAGTATTTATTGCAAGACAGAAACTCACAGGTATGATAGAGTTGCCCCTCATAAGCATGTAATTCTAGAACAGACATCCCACAGGAAGGTTACTGCAGGAAAAGACTTAATAGAGAACATGAATGAATGAAATACTGTATTTCAAGGACTAAGGGAATGAACCCAGCCTCCTAGGACTATTTGGTTTGTTTCCAAAATATAAGACTCCCTTTTTAGAAGAAAATTAATTTCCAGTCAGATGGACCAGAATTTTTGTTAATGTTTGTTTTTTCCCCATGTGGTTGAACAATGATTCAAAGGAATCTACATTAATAGAAGCAGCTGGTGTGTGTTTTAGAAGTGAGTAGATTATAAAACTTAACAACTTAATAAAGCCAGTTGGCTATGTGAGATGGGTATGCATATACAACATGATACCTTGTGTGACTAAAATGCACGTAAAAAATATCTGAGTTTTCTCTTTGTACTGTTGTCAGGTGCTCAATATATGAAAAATGTCTGTTTGGGTTTTTTTCCTCAATAAACTGTAATTTGGGTAGGATGATACTGCAGAAGGAAATCTGTGTTTCTTCTCTGCTCTTGAAAAATCCCAACCCAGTAAACACCACTTCTTTTGCCCTATTTTTTTTTCACCTTGCATGCAGCTCATGAACCAGTACTCTCTTGCTTCATTAATGAAGTTTCATCTCAGTCCTTCTTTTTTCATCTCACACTTACACTGATGATAATTTCTGTTCCCCTGTCAGTGTTGCACAGGAGTCACAGATACTGCTGCTGAGTTGGGGATCACTGAAGCACAACGAGCTTCACACTGAGATCAAACCTTGTGGATCAACAGCACAGGATCAAGATGTTATCACCTTGGGATACCAGAATTCAGGGAGGTCTGGTCACTGACTTTAAGTGACTAGGATGGTAAGAAAAGGGCACTTCTTACCATTATAGCAATGCTATTTGACTGCCTCTGTTACCTTTTCTGATTGCTGTCAGGGATTACAGACTGCCAGTACTACATTCCTGTTTCCCTTCCTGTCACTGATGCAAGATTTTGGGCCGCTGCCTAGAAGAGATCTCTATAACAGAGGTCCCTTCTGTCCTTTTTTCCCCTGACAGAATGAATATTCTCTAGTTCCATAAACGGCTGTTTTCAAAGGAGAATGAGGAGTCCTTTCATAACCTTGAACTGAGGCATCTTCATCTTGGGGAAAGAGTTTCCTCTAAACCCTTCATTTTTGAATAATTTGCAGTAGAAATTGATGCCACACTTCTCCCTTTAGGACAGAAAGGGCAGAAGTGAGCTCCCTTCCTTATTTGATAGTTTCCTTATCCTCACTGAGGGTTTCTGTTCCTCCACAGAAGGGACACAGTGCTCAGTAGTGAGGAGTAAACACAGAGTCACAGAATGGCTGATGTTGGAAGGAACTTCTGGACATCACCTTGTTCAAATCCCCTGCTCAAGCAGGGCTGCCCACAACAAGGACTGTGTTCACATTAATACCTTCATGGATGGAGACTCCCCAACCTCCTGGGGCAGCCTGTGCCAGGGCTTAGTCATTCTCACAGTAAAAATTGTTTCCTGATGTTCAAAAAATCTATGTTTCAATTTGTGCCCCTAACCACTGGTCATGTTACTGGGCCCCACAGAGAGGAGCCTGGCTTCACCCTCTTTGCATTTTCCCTTCAGCTATTTGTGAGATCCCCAAGCCTGCCCGTTTCTCAGCTGAACAGTCCCAGATCTCTCAGCCTTTCCTTATGGAAGGGATGGTCCAGCACCTTAACCATGGTCATGACCATTTGTTGGACTCTCTCCAGTATGTTCACATCTCTGTACTGGAGCAGCCCAGATCTGAACCCAGCACCCCAGGTGTGTCCTCACCCGTGCTGAGCAGAGGAGCAGGATCACCTCCTTCGACTTGTTGGGATTGCTTTGCCTAATGCAGCCCAAGGTATCATTCTTTGTGGCAAGGGCACACTGCTAACTCATGTCTAATTTGATGCTCACCGGGACCCAGGGTGGGTGGGACTCACCCACCCAGTGCCAAACTGCATTCCAGTCAGGTAGTCCCCCACCTGTCCCGGCGTCTGGATTGTTCCTCCCCAGTGGCCGGGCTTTGCCCTTCGCCTTGTTAAAGTTGCTCTCCCGGGGTGTCGCTGGGTGCACAGAGCTCCTGTGCCCAGCTGGAGGGGCAGCGGGAGCTGCGGAGACACCCACCCTCCCGGGCTAGGGAGGGCTGCGGAGGACGGCGAGCGAGGAAGACGCAGGGAAGCTCAGGAGCAGCGTCCCGCCGGGAACGCCCGCTACCGCCTCACCTCTCTCTCGCCTCGCCGCGCCGCTGGGACAGCGCCCGGCTCCCGGGGCTCCCGGTGGCCGCCCCCGGCCCTGCCCCTGCCCCGGGGGCGGAGTGCGGGGGAGCTCCAGGCGCGGAGCCGAGCGCCGCCAGCCCGGCTCGCCCCGCACACGCTCGCACTCGGCGCAGCCCGCCCATGGCTGACAGGAGCCTGATCGAGGGCGCCGAGCCCCGGCCGCGCCGGGAGGAGGCTCCGGAGTGGGGCTACGAGGAAGGTGAGGAGCGGGCGGCGACTCCGCCGGGGAGAAACTTTGTCCGCTGCCGGGGGAGGAGGAGGCGGTGCGGGGATTTCAGTGGCGGACCACGGAGCGCAGCGGGGTTCGCTCCCCGGCCGTCCCGCGGCAGGTCCATCCCCGCTGGCGGAGGGCGGCGGCCGCGGAGCCCCTTCCCTCGGCGGGGCAGGTCTGTCTGACCCGCAGCGCGGGCCGCCGGCTCCCCCGTAACCCTTTTCCCTTGTGCCTCAGGAGTGGAGTGGGGGCTGATTTTCCCCGATGCTAACGGGGAGTACCAGTCGCCCATTAACTTGAACTCGAGAGAAGCCAAATATGACCCCTCGCTCCTGGAAGTGCGTTTGTCACCGAACTACGTGGTGTGTCGTGACTGCGAAGTGATCAACGACGGGCATTCGATTCAAATTGCCCTGAAGTCAAAATCAGGTATGCCGAAACATGGCCTTAATTTTCCCGGCTAAAACTTGTGTTGCCTGAAGACTCACTGTACTCATGTCCTGGAGTTTAGGAAAAGCAGCCTTTTCCAGCTGAGAGCAGTAGTGCCCATTCAGCATGGACTATGCTCAGTGAAAGTGTTGCTATTGACTTTGGTAGGAAGAGGAGCAAGTGTTGCGATGGGAGTTGCAGATTTCGATGCCAGACTGGATGGTCAGTGAGATTGCTTCAAAGCACGTCCAGAATTTCTTCTTGTGGTGGTGGTATCCAATTCACTGGCATTAACAGCTGTCTGAACTCAGAAGCAGTACAGACTACTGCTAAGACAGTGTAGTGCCAAACTGTTCTGTACAGCTGGCAAGATTTGTTCATGGTTCAAAGACCATGTAAGTTAAAAGTGCTTTTTCTCATTAACTTGTGTGGGTTCTGTAGGAATACTACCTACAGAACTGGACAGCTTCAGATAGATACACCAGTTATACATGCTCACAATATTGATGAGGACCAAGTAGAATGCAGTCCTCATTTCTTAAAGGATGATAGTTTTGGTGTCACTCATCAAACATGATTTAGAAGAAAATAATAAAAGAAGCGATTCCAACATGCATGAAATTGCTATATCTTATCCAGACTTTTCATCTGGGTAAATTATTCTCTATGAAGGAGACAAGAAAGTAGGGAGGAAAAAAGTCCATTTTTCTTTCCAGCACTGCAGTAGTTCTTACCATGTGTTTGGAAGAGCCCCTATGTTATTCTAACCCGTCTTAGCTAGTAACAGCCCTTTGGGGGCATTTAAACAGCTGAACATTGTCAAACCATGAGACATTCCAACTTCTGTTTCCTTCTGAGAAGTCAGTAATACTGGGAACTACAGCTGTGCTAAGTGAGGGAGTCAGTTCAGTTTCACACAGTTTTTTTAAAAAGAAGGGGTCTGTTATCTCAGAAATAATGAATTTCCTTTCTATGATAAATTCCATGTATTTTTGCAACACAGAAAGTTTCTTTACATGGAATTTTGCAGGTTTGCAATAAAGAAATGTTGTACTTTCAATCAGTTTTACTGCCTTCATCAGAAGCGGAACTCTTTTCTCAAGGGATAAGGTTCTCCTTGCAGGATCAGGAGTTCTTGAATTCTCCTGTGGAGGAAGTGAGAGTGACCACAAGTACCTCATCATTCACATCCCAAAAGGCAACTCCGTCCATCCTACCTTTCCCAAGGGCAGTTTCTAACTTAGTAGTGATAATTAATAAGATGGGATCAACACACCTAAATGCCTTTGCAAAACCATTAAGAGAATTAGAAAAAAGGAAAGACTTCTTTTACACTTGAATGCAATGTGATGCCAGACAGATGTCTCTTGAATTATAAGGAAATGTGAAATAGAGAAAAAGTTTATGACTGACGTATGGAATTATGATTTAGGAACTCTTGGTTTAGTTTCAGCTTTTCTTTAAATATAATGTTATGTAGTTTCCCATTTTTCCTTTGTAAACTGGGAATAATTTGGGAGGGAGAAGGCAGCATTTATTAAAGCTACCAAGAGGAGAAAAGAGTTAATAAGCTGTGATTGAACCTGGCCTAGTATCCTGGCCATTTTTCAGGGACTGCAGAAACTCCTACAGTTTCTTTTCCTCGCAGGAGATCTCTGATGACATAGCCATTTAGCCAGATTATTTTGCTGAGAACTATTGAGCACTGGATGCTTTTGAAACTCTGTCCAATTAATGTGCAAGAGATCCTCATCTACTGTAATGCTAGCAGTCAAAGAAAAAGTTATTTATGGAAAAACATAAACTGATAAGGATACATATTAAAAATAAATTTGTCATTACTGGTGAATGTTTTTATCCTTTAATTCAAGGCATGCAGTCCATATAGAATTCCCAAATCCTGCTCATTATTTAATTGCAGACATTTTCACAGCTGCTTTCATTTTGATAGTGGAATACGTGTGGTGCATTAGGTGGATGAATCATGACCAACTATGAAATAGTTCTATAATGGGATCAGTGTCCTAACTGAAGCCTTGGAAATAAACTCTTTGAAACTCCTGGAGACCCAGAACTACATCATATAAAAAACATTTCTTCTTCTAGTTACAGTTTTTCTCAGAGAAGTGTTTTAAAACAGAAAAGGCTCAATTTTCCTGATTGAGATTATTATTTTTATTCTTCTAATTATTATTGTCCTAATTAAGAACTAATTGAGTATCATGATTCTTTTTGTTTGTCCAGATTTCTTAAATACTTCAATTGGTTTATTCCTCAAGTGTTCACTGGTTTTGTAGATTTTCCCTTTAGGGGATACAGGTATAGATGGAATATAGATAAAGCAAGGTTAAGGAGCAAATCTGGATCTATAATTATATTTAGGACATTTCATTTTAGAAACTCTAAAGACTGTTAGATTAGTTGTGAAGAATTATTAAAGGGGGATTAATTGGAATATTTGACTTTTTTTTGCCCCAGGGTAATTGCTTATGAAAACCATAATTGATCTGTTTTCTTTTTTTTACAGTTTCATACCTTTGGTTTTAT